AACAAAACCATGACCCTTTCCAAAATAACGTGAACTGGTTATATCAAACTATCATCTTCTCTGGACATGTCATTCAGGTTTATAATGCAAGAATGACCCGGAAATATTCGATGGTTATTTTTAATTTTGGTAAGACGGAGAACGCAATTGGAGCATAATTCTTGAGATGAACAAACTACCAACAACTTCTCTGATAAAATCTAAAATGGTTTCAGACAACGCAGGATTATTTTTTTTTACTTCCATTTTGATATTACTCCAAATTAACTATATGGCATTTAATGTACGGTAATACGGTGGTAAATGTTTTACGGTCTGAACGTTTGCCGTAGCCATCTAATCTACAAAATGGCTAGATTTGGGATTTAAGCCTTTCAATATTGCAAGAAAATCTTTTTTAAACTGTAGGTGGATATGATACACCAATTTTGTCCAGAAACGTGGAAACTACCTCTTTTTGAGCTTTTGCTTTGGGAATTTCAATTGTTTGACGAGAGTGGTAAGGGGCATTAACCATTACTATAACAGCATTTGGTGTCAAATTAGGAATTATTTCTTCACCAAACCATTTCTCAAACAATATTCTTCATCATGCAGTGATCTAGACTAACTAGAGATCTTTGATTTCGCTTTTTTCTTGGTTTTTTCTAATCGAAGGTTTTGAAATTTTTGTCAAATGTGTATTTTTTTTATGACACCGTAATTAGATCTATTATTTTCCAATTTTAATTGGTGGTACATATTTCGAATAATTTTTTGAGTTGAGGGTGACATCGTCATACCAAATTTTTGGTTGATATCATCCCCCTCGCCCTCCTCGTCTTCTTCCTCCCATTCTTCTCTACTCTCCGAAGAAACTTTGATGGGTTCTAAATAATTACACGAAAATTTATTATAAATGCCAATTGTTTGTTTCATTTAATTGTATCATGAACGTTAAAATGGTAATAAACTCTCATCTATTTACTAGTTATTAATTAATATAAATTTATTCAGCTTGTCACTTTTCTAATAAAGTATTAGCGTACAGATTTTATAGTTTTTACATTTTCTCAGTATATATTAATATTTGACCCCCCGTTCTAAGCCAAATCTTAACATTTTCCACGGGTAAAATATAACCTTTTCTTTGTGAATCACCCTGTATAGGTAAACAGTAATTTAAACTGCCAAAGTCCACATTGAACTGTTTAAATTTTACAATTTATGTGAGTATTTAAATATCAATTTAGTTTTTTTGAGGTGTAACTGATCCTATTTATTTAAAAAATAGTCAATCAAAATTATAATTATTTACATGCCTTCATGGATTACATTATTTTCACCACTTTCAAAAGGCTTCCAAAAAGCCATTTTTTTATGAACCAAAAATCCAAACAGTAATGTGAATACAACACTTTTGTCCATCTGTGCTCAGTCAACACGACGGTAACGCATAGAAGCGTGCCAAATAACCAATTAGAACAGTGGTCGCCAACCTGTCGATCGCGAGCTACCGGTAGCTCGCGGAGGCACATCTGGTAGCTATCACAACGATTTTAATTTAAAAAATACAAACTGCAAAAATCAGAGAAGTTTCCGAAAATTCCACAAAAAAATCTAATTGTCATAATATTAAACATAAACAGCGGCAACGTTGCGGTGAGCGATCTGCCGCTGACGCCATCAAGCTAGAATCGGCTAGAACCGACCAGCCGGACCAGCGCGTTAGTGTTCGAGAAAGATCAGGATTGCTTTGAACGGGATAAATACGCACGGCGCGGCGTTGCGCTTAGTTTAAAACTGAAGGCGTAACCAACGTCCAGCGGTTGGGTTAGTAGAGAACAACAAAAAATAATATTATAGCAAGCAGTTGTAAGAAGGTAAAGACATACCACTTTCATTCGGAATGGGAAGAAAAATACTTTTTTACAGAAGATAAAGATAAAAATGTGTGTTTGTTATGTAATACTTCGGTCTCCGTTGCTAAAAAAGGAAATATTGAGAGACATCATAAAACTGTACATTCTAATTTTGAAAAATCATTCCCACTACATTCTGCCGCCAGAAAGGAGAAATTGAAACAGTTAAAAAAGCAGTTAATTGGACAACAATCAATATTTTTAAGAACAGTCGACAAAAATAAGGCTGCAACTGAAGCATCGTACCGTGTGTCCCAGATAATTGCACAAAAAAGAAACCTTAAGAAGACGGGGAAATGATAAAATAGGCGTTTTTAGAAGCTGCTGATTCGTTATTTGCCAACTTTAGAAATAAAGACGAGATAGTTTCAGCTATAAAATCTATGCAACTTTCTGCTAATACAGTGATGAGACGTGTAGAAGTAATGAGCAATGATATTTTTTTACAGTTAAGAACTGACTTAGATAACTGTTTATTTTTCACTTCAACTGGATGAATCAACAGATGTCGTTGACACTGCCCAGATGGCCGTGTTCGTCAGGATGGTTTTTAGTGATTTTACGATTAAAGAAGATCTTTTGAAGTTTATTCCACTGAAAGGACACACTACTGGACAGGAGTTGTTTTCTCATTTAAAAAATATTATTTCTTCCGAGAAAATTCCAATATCGAAAATGGCAGGCTTGACAACCGATGGCGCTCCAGCTATGGTGGGTTGTGATAAGGGTCTGGTGGCGTTATGTCGTAAAGATGAAACTTTGCCGCAATTTCTCTGTTACCACTGCATTATCCATCAGCAAGCATTGTGGAAATTTCCTGAAACTAAACAACGTTATGAAACTGGTGGTAAAAATTGTGAACAAGATTAGAGCTCAAGCGTTACAAAGAAGATTATTCAAAACCTTGGCCGATGAAGTTGACTGTCAATACGGGGACCTACTCCTTCACTCTGAAGTCCGATGGTTAAGTAGAGGATGGGTGCTGAAGAGAAAATTCAATCTGGCTTAGAGATTTTGGTTTTCTCGTGGACATTACAGAGAAACTAAACGAACTTAATTTGCAGCTTCAGGGGAGAGACAAAGAACTAGCGGAAATGATTTCTGATATAAAAGCATTTATCAAAAAGCTGGAGTTTTGGGAACAAAACCTAATTAACAGCGATGCCAAGCATTTTCCTATTCTTTCAGAAAAAATATCTTAAAATCCATAGAACCCTATGACAGCAAATATCATGTAGAAATAGTTTCTACCCTGAAGAATAACTTCAAAAATCGTTTTAAGGATGTCAACGAAATGGCTTTAGTAGCGCAGTTTGTTGTTTCACCCTTTATGGAAATTGATATCCAACAGTTTGCAACTTGTGTTATGCAGAACTTTGGCGAAGACATCGCTGCAACAGAAATGGAAGTAATTGAGTTTCAAAATGATTTAGCCTTAAAATCGTTAGTCTCAAGTACCAAATGTATCTGGCCTATTGTAAGTAAAGACAAATATTCAGTTCTATGCCGTGTTGCCTTGAAAGTGAAAGCATTATTCAGTTCAACCTATTTGTGTGAATCTTCTTTTTCCAATATGAAGTTTATTAAGAACAAATATCGCAATCGATTTACAGATGAACATTTGGATAATTGTATTCGATTGGCTGTATCAAATTATACTGTAAACATTAAAAAAATTATCGATGAGTCTGAGTGTCAGCCTTCTCATTGAACGTGCTTTTTTATTTTTCAATGTTTATGTTCATGATAGTGCGTTACTTTTTTGTTGTTATTTTTAACTATTTTTAAATCTTACGTGACATGCCGTTGTGGCTGGATAAAAGTTTGTGTTTCGTTTGGTAGGTAGGAATGTAGCTATGAACAAGTACGTACTAGTAATATTAGTTATTTTGTTATTAGTTTATTATTAGTACCTATGTATTATGTATTACCAGTTAAATAGAAAAATAAATACATATAATGATAAATTAACTGTGGATTATTTCATTTACGTTGCGTTACATGGCTTCCGTGTGGGTAGCTCGCTGTTTATTCCAAAATTAACAAAGTAGCTCAACACATTGAGAGGTTAGCGACCACTGAATTAGATAAGTTGAACAAAATCATAGAATTACTATTGGATATCCCAGTCATATACTATTGACATGGAGATTTCTTCCCACAATTTTATTTATTTTAAAGATACACTTATTACTCACTTTTTATACAGGGTGTCCCAAATAAGAGTGTTCGATTTTAAATGTAAATGCACAGCTTATTAATTGCTCTAAAGAGATGGAGTTTTCACTAATTGATTTCGTTTATCCAAAAGTTTTTTTTAAGTTTGTACAAATTTTATCACATCAATGCAGGGTGATTCATTAATGTTGGTCAACTTGAATGGAAAAAACATGTATTATTTTAAATGGAACACCCTGTATATTTTGATGGCATTCAAAAGAGAGATTCATCTACTTTTTAAAAATGTATAGTTTGATAACTTTTGTTTTCTTAACAACACAGATTTTCGAGTATTTAAGTAACACTGCTGTTTTCTTTATTTAAAAACTGACATTAAATAAAATTAACAAAAATAATTTGTTCAGTAACAAAACATAACAAAAATTTAATATAGATTACTTAAAAACTCGAAAATCTGTGTTGTTAAGCAAAAAAAAGTAATCAAACTATACATTTTTAAAAAGTAGATGAATCTCTCTTTTGAATGCCATCAAAATATACAGGGTGTTCCGTTTAAAATAATACATATTTTTTCCATTCAAGTTTACCAACATTAATGGATCACCCTGTATTGATGTGATAAAATGTGAACAAGCTTGAAAAAAACTTTTCATCAATTAGTAAAAACCCCATCTCTTTAGAGCAATTAATAAGCTGGGCATTTACATTTAAAATCGATCACTCTTATTTGGGACACCCTGTATTTGTAACATATTTTCTTTATTCTAAATTTAATTTAAATTTAAAAATGTATAATTATTATTCACTTATTTTGTTTGTCATCATATTACGAATTTGTAGCATAATTGTAATTTTGCCATTTTTATAAATAAATAAATAAATAAATATGTTAATATACTTTAAAAAAAAACAAAATATTTATTTGTTTTTCTTATCGCTTTTAACAGAATTGTTTTTTCTACAAACACATTTGCATAACAAATATAAACAAGTTATAAATATACTAACTAAAACAACAACAAAACTAATTATATCTAAAAGGTACAATTGGTACCAACGGAGATTCAATGCTGGTGATCTTAAATGTGCTGCTCCTTTGTGGCGAATTACATATTCAATCCAAAACACCGCTTTGTCTAATTGCTTTACTGGGTCATCATGCATAATTCTAGAACGTTCCTTAGCAGTATTTCGATATCTATAAGAACGAAAAACAAAAATATATAAAAAATACAGAAACATATGTTCAAATTATTTCTAATAAATGAAAACAAAAATAGAACATCAGAGCCCTATCATACTATAATGTTTAGGTTCCAACAAAGTATAATCCAATTCAAATAAGAAGTAAACCTATAATATGTCAACATAACAATATTTTTTTCCAACACAAGCCAATCAAAAATTCTATCTGAAAACACTGCATGAGTAACCCATAAATAATTTATGCGAAACCCCAGTATAATTAATAATACAGTAGCGACAGCTTGAGATGTTGGAGTGGTCAGATATTTATTGACAGTTCACGTTTTTGTCGCTTATTTTTACACTGAAAAAAGTAACTTCAAAATATCTTATCCCTTTGTCTGTTTGAATAAAATATCACACAATAAATAGAAGATAAAAACTAAGTCTAAATATAGTAAAAATGTATTAAAATGTGTATTAAAACCAATCAGATAATCAAAATAATCAATGACAATTAAACTATTGACAATTTACATATGCCAGTTTGACGTATTTGCCCCTTATTTACGGACTCCGAGCAATTACTACTAGAGGGAGTCTTCCCCCCTTCCCCGCGCTAAATTTTGTTAGCAACATCTACTCCCCCCGAGAAGGAAAATACCTCTTTTGTTATTGGCTTATTTAATCAGCGTTGCCAAGTTTGACAGCGCCAGATCTGACACTTTCTGACACATGTCAATTTCTTATTTGTATTTTACGGAAAATATTATTATTTATAACGTTGTAAGGGTTGTTAATGTATATTTAAGATTTATTATCTTTAATAATATGGTGAAAACTTGCCTTATGTGTAAAAGGCCTGTTGAAAATGCTTCTTCAAGATAATATCATAAGAAAGTACAGACACAACCTAATTATCAGAGGCAATTAAACTTTCTTATTTTCATATCGAAAAATAAAAAATTAAGAGCAAGTAAACTTCAGCTAAGTTCGTCTTCATCCGTCTTATAATGAATATAGTAAAGGTTAATTACTTATTATTATTTTAATATCACATCTTTGTAAAGTTTATTGTTATTTTTTTTAGGTTTTCTTTTCTTGATATGAGAAAGAAATACATGGTTCCAAAATATAGGAATTCACCTGTATAACTTTTTATGCTAAATGAATATTTTTATTACAGACCTCAGGGGATGAAAATATTAAAGAAAAATGCAATTTCGACGAAAGAAGTATAATAATCCTGTCACTACTTCTACACTATATTCATCTGCTACTAAAATACTAAAACAGCAAGTAAGTAGAGAAACTTAAGTTTCTTTCAAAAAAAAAAAGTTCAAGGAAAAAGGCATAGCCATTTTTTGTTGACACTTTTTTTTAACTAATCTAAAAGACTAATTTTGTGTATTGTTTAAATTTTCATTTTTTGTACTTAATTTGTTTTAGGTTTAAACAAAATGAACTTCTAAGATATGCATGGAATATCCCAAAAGAGCTAAGGAAGGTTTTAAAATTCTTAAGAAAACTATTCAGAGCCAAAAACATAAAATAGTCTTCCTGTCCAAAATATAAATAGGTATAAATATTTAGATATTATGAGTGATTTTTTATTCTATAAATAGAACATAATTTGCTTCTAAATCACTACCCAATGAACTATAATAGTACAAAACTAATCAAGAATATCACATTATTCATGTTTTTTTAATTTCCTTAAAAAACGTCCCAAAAAAATGTGAATATTTATTATTGGAGTTTACATCGTTATGCTAAAACAATACTAGTACAACTTAAATAATGTGGATTTTGACTATTTTGAGTTATGCAGATCATTATGATCTAAAAAAATGTTTATCCGGTGCTATAGTCAGGTATAAAAACATTCATTTATTTAAACACAGTTGCAATATACATTTTATTTAGTTTTTAAGTTAAAACCTATTAAGACATCCTAAAATGACTTTTTTCGTTTGATGTGAGATTAATTATTCTACATTTTTGTTGGTGAAATAGGATATATTAAGATGTCTTACTGTTTTCTTTGATTGTCTAAAAAGTTAGAACAATATACAAAGACTGTTATAACAAAAAAGAGATATACCTTTACTCAAACACACAATTAGTCAGTTCAATTGTACGATAATTTAAAGCAGAAATCCAGAAAACTTTAAAAATGTGTTTTTACTATAACAAGGACATAATTATTAAAAAAACTTGGCACATTAACATTGACGATAGGTTTTTATAATATTTATACAAATCACAACGAACTACATAAAATGACATTATTAATAATTTAGCAATAAAAAAGTTAAGTACAATGATGACATTAAAAGTTGAGTTTCTCGAAATACTTTTTTAAATTGTCTCAGTACCTACCTAGTATTTTTCTAGCACAATGATATTGATATATGAATGTGCATTGTGTGATATCTTATATTTTAGGAATAAAATGATATATTTTTTGCAGGTTTCTGTTAACAACGATTCCAAGAACTTTTGAAAATATTATTAAAACGGCCTTTGCAAATATAATTCTCAATTAAGAGCTTTTTATCTAACATTAAATTTGTATTCTCCATAAGGTTACAGCTTCCTAAGAAGAAAGTTTAACAAGACTTACCAGACCCAAAATATCTAAAATTTTACCAACCAATTGATGGTTCTACTGGTTTCCATAGGAAAATTCTCCTCGAAACTACTAAAAGAAAAGTGGCAGAGGCAACCGAAGAAGGCAAAAAAGTATTTTGTAAAACAAAAACTAGAAATTTGTTTAAGAATCTAATTATTGTTTGAAGTTTTACCATTAATAATTTTTGATAACGATTTAAGATTATGAAGTTCTATTATGTATTTTACTCTTTGATAAACTATGATTAAATTTTTATTAGGACCAAAATAAATTATAATTTTCATTTCAACTACAAAAACCCTCATAATATTAAAAAGGGGAAAAACGTTAGATTAGTTATATTCAGGAATAAACTCTTTAAACATTTATCTATTTAAAATGTGTTACTTTTAGAAGGTATGTTATTAACTTTCTATTTGTACTTGTATTAATTTATTTCATTTTATTATCTGTTGTATTTTCAAATTGATTTTGATATTAATCTTATCTATTTATATATTTTTTATATTCACATATGCTTTTTTCATTGAAACAAACGTTTAATAGCTTATTAAATATAATGAATTCATGTTGTTTTATTATATGCTTGTATGAATGATTACTTTTATTTCCTTTTAAAAATGAATTTCGAAGATAAAGGCGAAACGGTGAGTGAAAATAAAAAATTAGACTCCTTTTTCTAGCCATCTACACCTGAGCCAATAAGATTCGTCTTCCCTCCATACCTTCATTCTCCAGATTTACAGAGAAAACGCCGTCCTCTTTAACATATCCAGACCTTCTTTGACGGGGACTATACCACTACATTATCAGCTTTATTTGTTATCCCGAGCAATTTAAATGCATTCGTAATTGCTCATTCTCACCTCTTCTCTTGTTGATTCCGTACTCAGTTTTCTTAGTTTTAGTTACGTTTGCACTGCTCTTTTATTTTCACAGCTTTAATTCTATAATGCTGTAACGCTACAATATGGATCCATTTTTGTGGTTTATACTATTTAATGTTATTCGTAAGTGACCAACCTATTATAATAATTAAAGATTATTGTATTACAGGCCTGAAGATGTTCCTGTAAGGCCGAAACTAGTCGCTCCTGTATTTATTTATAATAAAATTGATTTTAAGGTTTTATTCTTCAATTAAAAAAATTAGACCTTTACAGTGATTTTGTTTCATTTCCTGCATTAGACACATATAAGACGGTATTCATTTTAAAAATAGTAAAATTGCAAATTTTTTAGTTTTTTTTTACAATTTTACATTTATAGATACATGATACGCCACTGAACAAGAAAGATGTTTACCTTCCCCCTTGTGCCCGCTTCCTCACTTCCTCTATTAGTAATTGCTCGGAGTTTACGAACATGCGCAGAAAAATATAGAGCACTCATAAACAATGAACTGTCGCTAACGTATTATTACTTTTACTGGGGCGAAACTTCAATGTGAAGTTTGTCAAAATGGTAATGAAAAATTGACACAAATTGTTCTGATTGTTCACATATTAATTAAATATTAATATTAATTCTGTAACCAAATAAAAGTTACTTTAAATTGTACTTATAGTTCTTTTAATATTGTTACAATATATGTCCAAATACAACGCGAGGTGAGAATTTATTAAGAGAGTATTTTGTTGTTTTCTTACAAATTATGCAAATTGCTTTCGAAATTCACCCTTGAAAAGTTGTTTATAGTAAACATTTTTACTTACTTGGGATTATTCACTATTTCTTGTAATGCGCTGCTAAAAGATTGTTCATCTAAATCATAAAAATCGACTTTTAAACCATATCCTTTGCTTACAGCAACAGCAATATTTTTCACTTGGTCCCAGAATACAGGAAGACCAAGTATTGGTACTCCATGGTAAACGGCTTCTGTGGTACCAAGTAGACCACAATGGGAAATGAAGGCTACAGTATTAGGATGAGCTGTAAAATAACGTTAACGTTGATTACATCTGCTTTTTTCACATAAAAAAAAATTATATTAAGGGGAGAGTACTGAATCGTAGGATGGGTACCAAATATGTGAGTAATTTAAAAATAATGAAATTAAAATAAGGAATGATGAAGTAACTGTAAGTAAAGAAGTAATATTTAGTAATTTGTATACTAAATAATGCTTACATTGATGGAAAAAGTCCAACGAAAATTGAGGAGGGTGAGAGACAATTTATTGTCCAAATTAAAATACTTATTGACAAATATTATTATGCAAGGCATAATAAATAAACTTTAATTCCATCCTCTTTAACTTCCTCTTGAGGCACTAAAAGGTTCTTATACCATTTGTAAGTTTAAGTCTTCTTATACTAAGTCAGTCACTCTATTCACATAAGGTTAGTAAGACTTAAAAAAATGTAATTTTAAAATTGTTATAGCCGGTTTTGGACCGTCATTACATTACTAGTCGATAGGAAGATAGGCAATCGACAAAAAAAAATAAAAAAAAAAATAAAAAATAAAAGAAAATAAAAATGGTTATTGTATTAGAGTTATTTTTATTGCAATACTATTTTATTCAAATGAATTTAAAAGAAATTCTTAACGTTATATTTAACAAAAGTGCAAGACATTTCTAAAACTAAAACTGGTTATGGTTTTACTAGTTAAATAGTTTTTATATCATAAGTAATATTAGCATAGTCTTATGGTTAGGAAAAGTTAATTACAAACATTTTATTAGAAATATATATGAAACTCGACTTGTATAAAAATTTCGTATTCCAAGTTATCATAAATACGAGGGTCATTCAATAAGTAAAGAGACAAATGGCTATAGCTCAAAACCGGTTTATTTCAATCTATCAAAATTAAGGCTATTTTTCAACATAATCACCCCCCATAGATATGCACTTGTCCCATCTTTCTTGCAGCTTCCTAATTCCCTTGGCGAAGAATTCTTTCGATTTACCCCGAAGCCACTTTTGCACCGCTTCCTTAACTTCCTCATTGTTAGCAAATCTTTTTCCACGTAGGGCGTCTTTGAGTGATCCAAACAGGTAAAAATCAGATAGGGCGAGGTCGGGACTATAGGCAGGATGAGGTAAGACCTTCCAACCCAATTCTTGAAACTTATCACGGGTCAGCTGGGCTGTATGAGAGCGGGAGTTGTCGTGCTGAAGAATGACTCCTTTTGACAAGAGTCCAAGGCGTTTGCTCCTGATAGTTGGTTTAACTTTGTATTCTAGAATCTCAGAGTAGTATTGGCTATTGATAGTTCGCTAATCTTCAAGGAAATCGCAATAAACTGGATCCTGTGAGTCCCAAAAGATGGTCAGCATCACTTCACCTACACTTGTTCGGCCACTTTTAAACCGATCAACCAGAGATAACCAGGAGATGTAACTATTAACAAATATCGTGCGGCCGTGAATAAGACATATTCTAAGGGACACAGTAGGGTATAATCACAATATATTGTGGGTATAATATCCGCTGTTGTCATTGTTAGTAAAGTGTATGTATTAAAATATTCGCTCAAGAAAACGATTCACCTCCCACTCTTTTGTCACATAGCTGAATTTTTCACAGATGAAAGGTCATGATAAGGTAACCCTTTTTCCGGAGTTAATACAAAATTAGATTGTGCAGAAGGGCACTATCATCAAAAATCCAGATATTGATACCACCGAATAGAGAAAAAAATACTAATTTTTTGGTCAAATGCACAATAAAATCTTTGTAGGGAGTAATTGTTTATACTTATTTAAAAAAAATCATTTGCATTAGCACTTACGGCCGAAAAAAAATATAAACGTAAATATCTTGGTTTTAGCCCTTCAAAAATTTAGTTAAAAAGTCGTCTTTTTTAAATATACCACTCATTTAACAAAAAACGAAGGCCTAAATGAAAAAAAAACATTCATTATAAAATTTTTGCTTATGTGTTGAGAAGGTAACAAAGTAAACACTATATTTTTTGCTTTTGAATTAACAAAGATATAACAATAAACGATGAGAGATGTCATAGGTTTATGCTGTAATTAATTCTCACCGTCAAATTTATCGACTCTCAGTGTATCTTTCTCTTCACCTTCAAACGTAGCATAGCTCTGTTTCTCTCTACGTGCGGGCTGATGTATCACATTATTGATATGGTAGGATTTTTCATTTTTTTATTATAAAACTGCTTGTTATGTTCCATAGGGCAATGTGTCATATTGTTATCTGTTTTTACTAAAGAATTAATAAGTGTATTTGTTATATATTAAATTACCTAATAAATTGGGAAAAAATATAGACATTTTTGCATCTTTATTATATCTACATTCATCCTGTTGCAGCTAAATATATTTGGGTAAGTTATAAGTTTTCGTTTAAAATTTTAATTACGGATTTGTTGCTGCAAGTAGCAGATACAAAAATTATATCAAAATAGGAAAGTCCAAAAGTTGCATATCATTTAAAGAATATGCTCATATATTTGTAAACATTATTTTTAGAAATAAATTTAATGCTCAAATGATAGATGTGGTATTTGATCATTATAAAGGACATTCTATCAAAAATACAACACGTCAAAAGAGAGGATTTTAGAAATATATTGATATAGAAATTGACCGACCCAATATTCCACTTCCGCAACAATAGAACTTTAACACATTTTCTGCCAGAACAACTTCTTCAAAACTCCATTCAGCAAAAGCATATTCAATTTCTAACTAGTGGTGGATTCGCGAAAATCAATAAATATGGAAAGAATTTTGAACCATCAAAAGACGATTTTTTTTGACTAAAGATATATGGTTCAGAACAAGGCGAGGAGACTCAAGGCGATTTCTAGCAGTACATTATTTAAATTTGGATGAAAACCTTCTAAAAAATATGCCTGCTTTTCATTCTGACCGGTTGTGATACAACCATTTAATTGTCCGGCATTGGGAACAAAACCTGTTGGAAAACTTACCTTGAAAACCATTACTTTTTGGATGGATTTGGCACTGATCAGTACTCTGAAAACATATTCACTAATCTTGAAAGAATTTTCCTAAAAATGTATTCAAAACTGCCAATGTTACTTTCATTAACATTTTGAGGGGATTATTGACCTCTTCAAAAACCATCGCTAAATTACCACCGACTGAAGACGCCCTAAGACTACATTGTTTAAGATGTTTTTACCAGCTAAATATTTGGCTAACCTCTTTAAACCCAGATGCAGCTTCCTAATGTTGAAGAGTATGGATGGAAAGTAGATCAAGATGGAAGTCTGATACCCACTTTTAAGACTCTGCCCGACCTGCCACCAGACATAACAGAACTTACATCATGCAAATGCAAAAAACATACTAAACAATATTCTAACAATAATATTCTGTTCTAGACTGTGGAAGCAAAATTTGCAAATGCAGGAAAAAAAATATTTACTGCATCGGTTCCTGCACCTGTATGACACAGAAAAACTGCATAAATAGTTTGACCACAGCCGCAATGTTTTGGAAAATGTTGATTCGTGTAGTGAATCTGATTCTGATTAGTTTGAAAGTCTTGTAATTATAAATTTTAATATTATTAATTTATGATTTATATACTTCCTTCCAATTATTATTATTATTATTATTATTATTTATTTATATTGGGGATTTATTGTATTTTGCAAAGCAATAGCCTTACTGTTTATAATTGATACTTCAATAAATACCTTTAATAAATAGTTTATATTTTCTTATTTTCATTTTACATTAAAAATAAAAAAGAAATCTTGAAGTAATTATTAGTACACCCTATTAAACATGGTGGATAAATCAATAATCCCTGTATAAAATAATATAAGAGGGGTCAAACTGATTGCATACATTTCAATACTGAGATAGATGCATAAAGAGTCGATAGGCTCTGCCTTTAATGTGTGCTTTCTAGTAAAACCATGACATCACTAATGGTTTATTGCTATATTTTTGTTAATTTAAAAGCAACAAATATGAGGAAAGTACTTTTACCTTGACAATACATAGGCGAAACTTTTATAAAGAATAGTTTTTTTTCATTTAGGCCTTCGTTTTTCGTCAAATGAGAGGTATATTTCTAAAAGAAGATTTTTTATACAAATTTGTAGACGGTTGAAACTAAGACATTTAAATTTTTTTTCGATCATAAGGGCTAATGTAAATGATTTTTTTCAAATAATTATAAAAAAATACTTCCTACAAAGACTTAATTGAGCATTAGAACAAAAAATAGGCATTTTTAACCAAATTAGATGTAATTTCATTAAATTAGATGTAATAATTTTCACCAAATTCCAAAACCTAGTGATGTTAGAATGGAAGTGGCAACAGGGCTTGCACCGGCAAGAAAAGTTACGTTAAGTAGTAAAAGCTCGGGCAGTTATTCATTGATAAAACTATGTAAAATTCTTCACTGTATCCCTTCTTTTACTTCTCACCTTTCGTCGCCTCGCCCCGCGTCACGAAATAGAATGTTTTGAGTGCGAACTGTTCTTGGCATCATGAATATTATATTTTATGAATGACTTCTTATATCTCTGTTATCTCTGCGATCAACCCACTTGTAAAAATTCGCACGGTTCATACAACTTTTACCGTAGTGTATCAGCATTTTAGAAAAAAATTTACTTGGTTTTACACCTTCTGCGACTAAAAATCTAATAACTGAGCGCTTCTCTTCTAAGGTGCAATCTTCTAGTGGACTTAATATAATAATAATACTCTCCCTAATTCACCCTCTTACGAGTGAATTTCAACCCCTGAAGTCGACTGAACGACTTGTGTAGGGGAAGGGACGGACTATTATTATTATTTGCCGTAGCGCTCCGGGGCGACTTAAAGATGATTGATGGTGCCATTTGACTTACAGGTGAGGAAAACCCGGAAAACCTCACCCACCATCATCGAGACGGTAATGCATGGCGATTTTTTTTAATCTGCATGTCATATCAACCGAAATTGAATTTCTATTAATACGGCACACATCAAATTCTAAACCGAACCATGCAATTTAATTAAAAATCCACATGGTCTGGTCTGGGATTTGAAGCCCAGCAGTCTCAGACTCATAAACTTGCCTATAAATAAATATAAGCGCGTTAGACCGCTACACTACCGACCCGATTGCCATGATAAATTGAAAATTTTGCGGTTCTGTTGACATAAAATGATGAAACAGCGATCTGCATTGGGATTCTCATCTTTTAATTCGGCACGTGTTGAGACGACCATCTTTGTTCCACAGAATGCGATTCGTATGTAATGTCTCTCTCTATTCAATTCATTACGTGTTGAGTACGCCCCTGTCCAGAGCATATTCCAAGGTTCCCAACTAACACCCCTGAAAAGATTGTACACATTCATTGAATAGTTTTAAAATTATAGAATTTGTCTCTTTACTTATTGAATGACCCTCGTATATACGAACCTTGTTATGATAAATACTAGTATCTATTGCAATTTTACTATTGTCACCTTGAATTTATCCTTTATGACAAAACTGGAAGTAATTTGTTTTAATCAAATTCATTTAAAATACTAATACTTAAGTTGACATGCAACATAACTTTAAATTTAAAAATTTATGAAACAAAATTTTAAAAAACATTTATGTAAAGTTTGTGTAAATCTAGAAATAAAAAATCTGATGTGTCCAACACATGACTTTCCTATCTAGTTTTTATAGGCTTTTTCCGGTTATTTTGTACAACCGATTGCAGCATCTCTATAAATGTTTAGAGGATAAACTAAATATATACATTGTCCACATACATCTACCTCGAAACATTTTTCTATAGATATTCTCTGAAAACGAAAACTGAAAAATTTAAATTTAGCACTTTTCCATTATGGTCCATTTTAGAAAAATCATGTATAAACAAAAATTATAGAGATCGATATCGCAAACAACTTTTAGTCCAACAATTTTCATAAAAATCAGAATTTTGCACATTTTGTCAAATTTCTCGAATACGGACCATTTCAGGAAATTTTGACATTTAGCAAAAATTATAGATAATAATATTAGAAGTAACTTTTATTTAAACAATTTTCTTCTCCAAACATAAATAACAGATATATTCCATAAAATATAAAAACAGCCACCCATAAAGTACCCCCCCCAGATGTTCCGACTTTGTCCAAAATCTAATCATTTTACGTCAGGCCGAAATAAACCTTAAGTTTAAAATTTAATGTTTTTTTCTTTATCCGTTTTTGAGTTTTCTTCAAAATTTGAAATTTACACATTTTCTCAAATATCTCGAATACGGTCCATTTTAAAGAAATTATGTATAGAATAAAAATTATAGAGAATTATATTACAAACAACTTTTATTTGAACAATTTTTATAAAAAATTATTTTTTTTACATTTTTTCTCGAATACGGACCATTTTAGGAAAATTTTGTATAAAACAAAAATTATAGATAATTATATTAGAAGTAACTTTTATTTGAAGAATTTTCTTCTCCAAACGTAAATAACAGATATATTCCATAAAATATAAAAATGACCACCTATAAAGTACCCCCCAGATGTTCCGACTCTGCCCAAAATCTAATCAGTTCATTAGACGCTGGAATAAAGCTTAAGTATAAAATTTGGTGTTTTTCTGTGTATCGGTTCATGAGTTATTCGACATACAGACACACACACACACACACACACACACACACACACACACACACACACACACACACACACACACACACACACAACCCACACGCACACGCACACGCGCGCACACACACACACACACAGACATCATCGCGAAAATAGTCAAAACGGATTCAGGGGACCTCAAAACGTAAAAATCCGTCGAAAACTCGAAGTCGAAAAAAATCATGATTCCTATACTTTCCTTATATCTGTATACAGATAGGAAAGTAAAAATAACTATTCGATAATTGCATTCAAAAAAACCTTCAACAATTGACAAATGAACTAAATACTTCTGCATTTTGCATTTGTTGCTACTTAGTTAATATTCTCTTTTTTAAATTTTGTTTCATAAACATTCTTTTAGTTTTCAAAACAAAAAATCTGATGTGTCCAACACATGACTTTCCTATCTAGTTATTACAGGCTTTTTCCGTTTATTGTGTACAACCTATTGCAGCATCTCTATAAATGTTTAGAGGATAAACTAAATATATATACAATGTCCACATACATCTACCGCGAAACATTTTTCTATAGATATTCATTTAAAATGAAAATACTGAAAAATTTAAATTTAGCACTTTTCCTACAATTTTTCCATTACGGTCCATTTAAAAAAAATCATGTATGAACAAATATTATAGAGATCGATATCGCAAACAACTTTTATTTCAACAATTTTCATAAAAATCAGAATTTTGCACATTTTGTCAAATTTCTCGAATACGGACCATTTCAGGAAATTTTTACATAAGGCAAAAATTATAGATAATAATATTAGAAGTAACTTTTATTTGAACAATTTTCTTCTCCAAACATAAATAACAGATATATTCCATAAAATATATAAACGGCCTCCCATAAAGTACCCCCCCAGATGTTCCGACTTTGTCCAAAATCTAATCATTTCACGTCAGGCCGAAATAAAACTTAAGTTTAAAATTTATTGATTTTTTCTTTATCCGTTTTTGAGTTTTCTTCAAATTTCGAAATTTACACATTTTCTCAAATATCTCGAATACGGTCCATTTTAGAGAAATTATCTATGGGACAAAAATTATAGAGAATTATATTACAAACAACTTTTGTTTGAACAATTTTTATAAAAAAAATATTTTTTACATTTTGTCAAATTTCTCGAATACGGACCATTTTAGGAAAATTTTGTAGATGACAAAAATTATAGATAATAAAATAAGAAGTAACTTTTATTTAAAAATTTTTCTTCCCCAAACGTAAATAACAGATATATTCCATAAAATATAAAAATGACCACCTATAAAGTACCCCCCCAGATGTTCCGACTCTGCCCAAAATCTAATCAGCTCATTAGACGCTGGAATAAAGCTTAAGTTTGAAATTTGGTGTTTTTCCGTGTATCGGTTCATGAGTTATGCGTTATACAGACACACACACACACACACGCACACAGACACACACACAGACACACACACACACACACAGACATCATCGCGAAAATAGTCAAAACGGATTCAGGGGACCTCAAAACGTAAAAATCCGTCGAAAACTCGAGGTCGAAAAAAATCATGATTCCTATACTTTCCTTATATCTGTATACAGATAGGAAAGTAAAAAGTTTAAATTGCTACTTGGGAATGAAAAAATAATATTCCAAAAATGTTTATTTTAAAATCTAGTGAACATTTTCTCGAAATGATTCACATCTGTAAAAAGAAGAATAGTATACTTAAAAAAAATATTATAAAAAGTCTTTAAGTCTGACATACTGGACTAATCAAAAAGTTTATGGACATAGGTGCTCTCCTCAATATCTTCAAACTCATACATTAATATCTTACTGACAGAACTATCACAGTCAAAGTAGGCAACGCCCTGTCAAATCCATTTACCCCACTTACTAAAGTACCACAGGGCTTCGTCCTGGCCTTTCCCTTATACCTCATAAACACCCACCATCTTCCACTCCCAAACCACATATCGTCTAAATGTCTTCCCTATGCCGATGATACCGCTCGGACCTAAAATCTACTGAACCAGTACAACCGCTGGTGTAGCATATAGAGAGTCTCATCCACAAAAATCGCAATTTATCATTTTTAAAGATCAAATTTACCCAGCTTCCCCAGAACGGTTATGTAAATCCCAGGAGTCAGTCTCAGCAAACAGGCAGAAGTTGATCATTTGGAAATGCGATTCGTTTACATTCTCAACTGATCACTCTTGATAAGATGCGATGGCGAGCTAGTCTCCTTGGAGCTAGCGCTTGATTATTATCTGTAGAGTACATTACTTTACAATGCGCAGAAACCAGATTGAAAACGTTTATTTCTTAGTTTCTACACTATTCAATTTTGTGTGTATTTTGGTAAGTACAATAATTTATACCTAAATAAATCATTTAAAGAGTAAAAAAGTAAGTTTTATAAATGACCATTCTTAAAAATTTGCATTTTTACACTTATTCTGGTATGTTAAATCACACTTTATACATAATAATTATTGAAAAAGGTCTAAAGGTCGAAAAATCGTAGTATTTTTTGTGCATATTAAAATAGAGGTACTTTTAGAGAACCAGGGGTATGCACATCAATGAATCGTTTACATATTACACATGTCAGTAGCTAGCAATTGTTCTGTTTTTATAATATAATTAACATAGATCTTAGAGATATCGACATAAATACAATTAGTTATTTAGCGGAAAAGAAAAATTCAATAATTAAATATTTTACTTACCTATGAGATCAGATTGTGGCAACCAAGACAAAATTTTCACATTCGCTGGCTTGTCAGGCAGGTCGACTTCAAATTTCCACAAAACTTTCTGCTTGATCTTAGAAAAAGCATTCAAAATAGTTTTTATTTTCTCAGGTGTAAAGTCACTACTTTTTACATTTGAACCCATCGAGAAAATCACTACACCTTCTGTCGAACTATCCATAAAATCTTGTAAATCTTTTGGCAGGGGTTTTGGTGGTGTCACGTGATAGCCTCCGATTTCTATAATATTTTGCTGCAGAGGTATAGGATCTCCCAAGCTTGGGTGGAATGGTGTTAATATTAGGCTAGTGTTATATAAGATGGTACTCAATTCAGGAGCGTCGGGAAACGCTTTTTTTAGGGCCTCATTTTGTGTAGGGACCATTTTAAAATGCACTATCAATTCTCCAACTATTTGGTTAAAAGTATTGTCTATTCTTTGCCAAAAGTTCATATTTGAATCATAATCAGCTGACAAATAGGTAACATATGAGCTGGGAGCCGGGTTTCCAGACATATAATTGTCGAATATGCTTGAAGGCCATGGTGCCAAAATTACTAAAGGGCATTTAAATTTATGAGCAAATATTGCTAAAGCGTCGGTAAGCCAATGGTAAAGTATTACCAAATCAAAATGTTCGTCTGATTTCATTAAATCTTGAATATTTTTGTGCTGCAGAATGATTTCTGTTTGCGCTTTCCCAAAATTATTTATATATAACAATTGTTGGATATATGAAAGTTTGCCAAAATTTGTGAACGATCCCATTAATTCTAAAAAAAAAAAAAAAAATAAAAAAAAACATAATCAAAAAGTTATGATATCACAATTGAGGGGCCCAGAAGTAAAAGGGTTTAAGTGCAGTTTTGGTAGTTCCGAGATAAATGGCTTTAAAGTTAACTTAAATTTCAAAAATCCAGGAATAAGTTTAGGAAACTATGTAAATATTTTAGTTTTATTTAAAGACAAACAAACATTACAAAGAACAAAGATTTTTTTTAACTTTCAATTTTTTGTTTTTTTTGCAAAAATGCACTTGAATCATTACACATGGTAAAAATTTTTTGGTGGTGAAATGATTCAAGTGCAATTACTGCATTAAACTTAAACTTATTTCTAAAAATAAAACACAAAATTTATTATTCGTAATCAGAATCTATTAAGTTGTTATCTTCATCGCTTTCTTCCTCTTTTTGGCTTTGTTTCTTTTTTCCTTTTTTTTCTGATGCCTCTCCTCCATCGTGCTTTATTCCTTTGTAAAAGGTGTGGTGTCTTGGCGGAATGTAATCCATTAAGGTTAACAAATTTTTGTACTTGGCAGATTTAATTTTTATTGAAGTTTTGTTCAAAGGCTTCAATATTGAAAAATTAAAAGACGGACGTCCAACTTGCAAAGTTGGCATCTTACAACTGAAGAAATCTACATCAATGTTTAATGTTCTTTTGTATTTAAACGATAGTCGTTCAGTTTTGTAATAAGCGAACCAACAAATTTCCCTCCATTTTAAGGGGTGACCGTCACTATCTTTTTTAGGATCTTTCATTATTTCATTAAAGGGCGAAAAAGAAAAAAAATCGTCTTTGTTCATTTCATATACAACAAATTTGGCAGATATGCCTCTTATTACAGTCTCCCAATCTGCTGGGATAAAAACTTGAGGAATTTGCCTTTTTTTCTTCTCAATTAAGCCAAAACTACGGTCACACTCCATATAGGTGTGACCGGGTTCAAGAAACTTGTGGTGAATCTCAGTTATATTTGTGGCTTGAACAATAAAAGAAAATAGTTTAGAAATGTTCTTATTCTTATTTTGTCCCCCACACGAATCACTGTATGCAACAATCTTTGTTACTGTTGATGGAAGACTTCGAATAAATTTTATTAGGCATGAGCCTATCTCCTGCGAACAAAGACACAGAAATTATATGTCCATAGTTGACGGAGGTAGAAGACTTTAGAAGTTGTTAACAGCGGCGTTGGCAATGCCTGTTGCAAATCAAAACAAATTACAGCAGTATTTTTGGAGTTTTTGTTTTCAGCAATATCAGCTTTCTTGGCGTCTGTTGCTTTCTTGGCTTTCCTTTGGTGTAGCTCGAGGTCTCGCTTGGCATTTGTAATCTCGTCTTCATTTGTGGAGTGTTTTACTAGATTTTGTAACTGCAAGTGTCACTATAAGGCTTGTGAAACCTTAAATTCCGTATTGAAAATAAACCTATAATAGGACTCTTTTACTGGTAACTCTTGTTTTTCAATACAAAACTCCTCATATAATTTGTACATCTTACTGATACTCAATTCGCCTGAGATATACTTTGCGTTTAGATTGTCTTTTCTAGAATAGTGGCTACTATATTTCGGGAACATATTTATGTGGGAAATGACGAAATTTTTGGATGATTCCTTTATTTTATTTGGAGGTTCGTTTTTGCCACGCTTGTCAGGTTCGGTCATGTTAAGATCTGTAGTTTTTTTACAAACAGTTTGAAATCGTCGCACAGAAATGTTAAAAGTGCGTAAAAAAAATTGTATACAAACTCGTTTTCCCACTAAGGTTATAACAGTGCTATAGCTTTTATTTGCAACAGCTGCGACTGTATGTCTTTTAGGTGGGATTTTTTTAATGCAGGAAGATAAAAAAGCAGTTTGCAGGTCGTAGGAAGGAAGTTCATAAAAATTTCTAAACAGCTCTTGCCTTTGGGCCTCACTAATATTGTCATTGCACTGATATCTACAAACGTGAGGATATTCTTTTAGTTCTTTTGCTTTCTGTACCCTATTTTTCCTTCCAATATACTCCTTTCCTTCTGTCCGCAATCTTTTAGTACTGTTAGCTTTCCACTCTTTCGGGCGCCGTTTTCTTTGTATAGTTTTTGTCGGAGTGACATGTATATATTCATTTTCATGTTCATCGTCTGGTACTACTACTTCAACTTCTTCTACTTCTATGTCAGGAACATAGTCTAAATCCTCATCAGTCTGGAATGAATCAGCTTCTGTAAAAACAAAATAAAATTATCTAACCCAACTTTTGATTAATCCTAAAGTTATTTTACATTTTAATCTTTTCTACGAAATTAATGTACTTACCATCACTTTCCCAGTCAGTACTCATTTTGCTTATCAATGTAACACTATCAACACTGCAAAATATGTGTTTTGAACTAACAAAAGTACCTGCGAAAACACATTAACACACGTAAAACATTAAAAATATCTGGCATCTACAGACATCTCTAGAAGTAAAACGGTTCATGTGTACTTGAATCATTTTAAAAATAGCCGACATCTACAGACATCTCTGGAAGTAAAACGGTTCATGTGCACTTGAATCATTTTACCACAGACTTTATTGGTTAATATTTTGATACGTTTTTCTAGTCTACACGATATGTCGCCAGGGAACGTAAAATACACTTGAAGCATTTTACCTCTAAGTGAAGGTCTACTTTAGGTGTGATAATCTGCACTTAGACCGTTTTTTTAAAAAGTGCACTTGAACCCTTTTACTTCTGGGCCCCTCAATTGTGAAAAATAAAGGAAATTTTTGAATTTCGCGGATTGTATTAATCCGATTTTCAATTTTTTTTAATTTTATTTCAGAAGGTTGCCATATTTTTCGTTTAACATAAACGGTGAAATAAACCAAATAGTAGAAAAGGCATTCGTTTTTTTTGCCCGGGATAAAATAAAACAAAGAATTGCAAAAAGTTTTATTAAAACTCAAAACTTCAAATTATTTTGAATTTTTTGAAGGCTTAGGACTTTTTTGTTGCCTTTTATGTATTTATTAAACTTTTTACAACTAAAATTATACAGAAGATGTCATTAAGGAAGGGACGCATTGAGCCAGGCCTGCACAATAAAAGGCCTGTCATTGTTGGCCTGCCTACGTCAAACTCGTCAAATTAATCATTTTGCAGTAACAAAATTGCAATTAGGCATTTATAAAATTATAAGCTCAGGATTCTCTTGGCCCTCATACATCTACGATTTTTTAACTGGCCCTTTGAAAATCTCAGTTGTGCAGGCTTGCATTAGGCAATCGCGATCCGTCGCATCCCGGGCTGTGTTAGTCTCGATGGCTCTTGAGATTCTTTGGAAAAATAATCTTTACTGTACGGGCTCGAGACTAGCACATTCCGCAATGCGACAAGACCAAGATTTCCTAATGAGTTTCTTCCTCAACACAGTCAATTATTTATTAGTTAAAAATATGGGATTTCCCGGGAAATACGGGACGTTTGGCAACCCTAATTGTCACACATGTTTCTAAACTATATTCCAATAAGCAGCCATCATAAATAATTATTGCATTTTGACAGTTGAAAATATTAAACGTTTTTTAGTGTGCTCGTCGATTTTTTACATTCAACAAAAATAGATCAAACATTTTATATAAAATTTTCATTTTTCCAGTATACTGTGCGAGTTGCCATTACGTCTTAGATTAGATTAGATTAGATTAGATTAGATTAGATTAGATTAGATTAGATTAGATTAGATTAGGAGTTGGACGTTATTTGTCCTTGTCCACCGCGACCTTTTCAGATCTATTGTGGGACTCCGTTTGTTTTAGAGTATGTCGTCTAGCCTGGTCTTTTTTATTAGACTTAGTAGCTTTGACAGTGGCTCCCGCATGTAATTGCATGCAATTGGCTTTTCTTCGCCCAATGTTAGAAACCTCATTCCAGCCAAGCCTTTACGTCTTTATCCATTACGTCTTTATCGGCAAACTAAATATGAATCTACAAACAATATTTTCACAAACGCTATTTTAAAAACCTACTATAGGTATTATATATCACAAATACTCATATAAATGTTATAGGTACAAAAATATACCTTACCTATTTAATGTAGTATCTTTCAAAATCATTAGAAACCTCATATAGGTAATTTATTATTAATAATAGATCAATTCTTAGGTATTCACTCAAATCCTTATTGATAAACACGTACCTCTCTAGGTATCAACTTATGCTCATATATACATTCAAATCTTTCAATAGGTGCCAAATGAGGTACCAACTAATAAAACAATCATTCAATACTTTTAGGTACTTATTCTTATATTTCAACCAAAAACCTCTAATAGGCAACACGTACCTTCCACTTACAAACTTATTTTTACAAATTTAGTCAAATATTCCTATCCTATCCTATCCTATATATCCAATTAAACAATTTCTTAGGTAAATATACCTTATCAACAGTACTTATTCTTATATTCAAGTCCAAATTTTCTTATAAGCAAATACATACTTTCATAGGTACATACCTTTTCATACACCAATTCAAGCTCTTCTATAAGCATTTACTTTCACATCTACTCACATGTACCTTTTTAGGTATCAAATTAAAAATATTCATTTAAAATATTTTATACTCAAATATACCTTGTAGGTATCAAACTTTAATGATTCATTTAAGACCTCCTATAGGCATTAGCTTCAAACATTTATTTAAACCTTTCTTATTAATACATACCTATCATAAGTACCTAATCAATTTTCATATAATCTTCCTTCATAGGTATCCCAGTTTTACATTTATTCAAGCCTCTATTAGACAAACACATCTCACACAGACACATATATGGTTTTCTATAAACAAAAACAAACAAATACGTCTTCTATAGACACGTACAAATTTACCTCGTATATGGCAATTACCCCATCAGCGGGATCAAACTTTATGAAACTAACCCATCAGAGGGACATAGGATTTGTACATTTTATAGAGTTACCCCACCAGTGGGATCTAATTTTTATGGCACTTGCCCCACCACAGGGATCAAACCTTTTATAGGCATACTTTTATACTATTTACCCCACCAGAGGGACGTTCTTTTTTATGGCACCAAAAAAACCCCACCAGTGGAACACACAAAACATTACATTCACCCCATCAGTCGGGATCTTTAAACACATATACAATTTACAAATACAAAAACGGCTTTTTCTCTCATATTACATTATTCAAATGTTTCAATAAATTACAATTTTAAAACCATAATGCTCCTACTTATCTAATCAATCTTATAATATTTCATATTCAAACTCAAATTTCGAATTAATCAATTCTAGCGCCTCTTTACTCAATCAAAAGCATATTTATCTCACAATTTATCACACATATCATTTACAAACTCATATAGGTTCTAAAAAAGGCACATCTTTTTACAACATTCATTGGTACTTTTAGGTACGCATTCAAATACACTATTATAATCTATTACACAACATAAAACATTTTTCTTTCCATTACTATGCCTACATATCTAAGTACTATTCTACATTAGTAAATCTATACATATTCTCCAATGCCTCATTAGCACATTTCGGTATCTAACTATAATCAGTGATAATCAACCTTATTTATTAGTGCGATTTACATAATCGCCCATATAAACTTATATACACATAAAAGCAAACAAAGTCTTTCAAACAATCAAATTACTACCAAACACATTAACAATTTCTCAATAATAAAATTCTAAATCTAATTTTCAACACAAAGTAAACAAACAAAAATTTTTAAACTTTCTAGCATCAAATTCGCTACATAATCTACTTACTACATAACTAAAACTACTCGAAACTAAACTACATACTGTACTAGATCAACATACTTTTACTTTACACAAAATACAAACACATACTCAATACTAATACGCAAACAGCTGACTCCAAATATGGCCATCCCAATATTCTTGTGACCTAACTATCGTCGATTCTACAAGTACCCTTATTTTCGTATAGATTACGTCTATTATTGTTATTCCGGGGTATGTTATTAAGGATTTAGTTTTAGTTTATTAACTTTGAAAAAAATTTGGAAACAAAGAAAACTTCTAAAATACAATTGAGTCTGGAATATAAGATTTGTCTTTAATTACTGTATTTCTTAGGTCTGAAGGTAGGTAATTTTGAAAACCAGATATTTTATTTCAAACATTTATTCATTTTATATCACTCCGCGATAAATTGGTTGAGAACGACAAGTACCATGACCTCTTACTTTATGTAACCGAAAAGTAAGGTTATCGTATCGTATCGTATTGTGAAGATTACAACAGTAGATTAAAATTGGCATTGGTAATAATAATATATAATTTCTTAAACCGATTACACATTATTTACTAGTCCAGACAAAATTTTTCTCTATACAATCGTAATTTACAGTTTTAAATTTCTAATCATAACAGCGGGCTTAGCTGATTAAATTTAATCTGTTAAAAAATTAGAAATTACTTAATTTGAAAATTTATATTGGGATGCAAATGGTAAAAAGGTAAAAAATATAAACAGCACATCATTCCAAATATAGTACGAATTGTTGCAAATATTGTAAAAATATTTTTTAACCTTGCAATTATATAATGTGTGGTGAAGATTACAACAACAAAATTTTCCCATTAGTATTTAATATTTATAATTTCTTCAACCATAATGCATTATTTAGTAATCCACACATTTTTAACTAAAAAAATAGATATAGGTAAATACCTACTATTAAACTAACCTGATGTTAAATTATGCCGAAATATTGACTAATCACAAAAGGTTGTTACATGCATTAAAATAATCTATCGGAATAACACTGATCCAAACTGAAATAAAGAGGTTGATGGTGGTTCTGCATTTATGAAACGTCAAATAGGTATAAAAATTGTATCCGATATTATATATACAACTTTATATAAAACAAACAACTTAAAATAAGTTTTTGTTTTTTTTTTTTAAATATACGTACTGTAGTGGAATAAATATGAAACACAATTTTTTTAAGTAGAATATCTCCGAAACCAGCCCTTATGTTTTAATTTTTAAAGCGTCTTCAGATTATACTTTGAAATATACAACTTTTTTCCCATTTAATCAACTCTGCTTCACCAACTGTTTATGAGATAGCAATACTTACATTTCAATTAAAAAGTGGCCACTCTGTATATACTTTTGTTGAGATAAATTTAAAACTTTAAATTAAAAAAAAAAAATCGCACGGTAATTATAAATAATACTTACTAGATATAGGTCCTGCTGTTTCCTTCACGGATATGTCCTTCAAATTTTTAATTGGAGTCTTCTGAGGATTACTGTTGACAAAACTCACTTCATGGCCTTTATCAGCCAGTTCTTTCATTAGACGAAAACATAAAGTAAAATGACTGTGGGCAGGTGCCGGACATATTCCCAAAATTTTAGATGATTCAACATCAGCACCGAAACTCACAAAAATTCCAAAAATAAAAAATAACAATTTCATTTTGTCTTTGTGTTGTTCCTATGTATGTATAACCGGTATTGTTTGAATTTTAAATTTAGCAACTAAATAAAAAAAAACATTATTTTAATAAACTATCATAATCACAAACACACGTGTTATCGAAACCTTTTAATAAATTGAACTTTGAATAGGAACTTAATTAATAGTATAAGAGCCGAGCAGTCAATCCGAGTACCTAACGAGTTGAACACAAGGCTGAAAATTTGTAGAAAAACCAGTTGAATAAGGAAATTATGGTCAGGCAGGTATACCGCGATTGCGATTGCGTTGCAAAAGTATGTTAAAAAATACGAGGAATGTCTTCTTTGTTTTGTAATTTGAGCCAGTGGCGACGCACACTGGGGCAAGAAGCCCTCAAATTTGGCAATAAATAAAATTAAATAGCATATACACTCTACCTCATATTTTTTTCTGATATATTACTGTCCACTACATAATAAAATGAACAAGTGCCATCTTCTGTCTCACGCGTTTCATCACCACCCTCAGTCGAAGTTACTTATCTGAGGAAAGTATATTATTCATTGTTATTTCGTAGTTTTTAACTTGTTTTTGTGCTGCGTTTAGGCTGTATTTTGATTTTTTTTTTAAATTTCCGCCATCGAGCCTTTAAGTTCAGCTATGTATTATTATTTTAATAAGTAAAAAGTTGTAGAAAAATAAACGTAATCTTATAATATTGGGTAAAGTAAAATGAAGGTTAAACGTTAAAATTTTAAAATATTCTTAAATACATGAAGGCTATTTGTTGTGTTCCAAAGCAGTCCAAGCTTTAAATTTCGACTTTTCATGATGAATATTGTTTGTACTTTTCGAAATCATTTAGTTTTTGTGCACTTATTTGCACTTTTCCTATTTGGGTTTTTCAAAGTTTATAAATATATGGCGGGACGATCACGAATTCTATCTTTTTTAATATATTTCGTTTATTAATAAATCAATTTTATTGTCCTTAGGCTCATTTTATAGGCAACTGAATATGATTCCAGACATAACAAAATGCCAGAAATGTAAAATTTAAGATGGCCGACCTAATTGAAGAAAAAAAAAACGAGCCCAAAAGTAACCCATTTTAAGCTCGTTTTGCGTAATAATTATAAATTAAATATAAAATCTAATAACAAAAGTTAAATATCTAACCTATTATCTTTATTTTAAGACTTCTCCGAGCACGATTGGTCCATTCAATCGTAAGATATAGACAATCAAAATTGTCTAGTTTTTATGTTTTCATAGAAGCTTATAATAACACATCAATATGCTTTGCAACGCTGCTATTTTAGTTTTTGACCGATTTGGACTTAATGGGTCTGATTTGGTAGGTATGTAAATATACTTTCCGACCATTAAATTAAAATGGCGGAAATTTTAAATTCCAGGATGGCGAACCTAATCGATTTAGAGCTAGTTTATTTTTGGTAGATCTGGGAGCATAGTTAGTTATCTATAACATGGAGCCTAAGAACAGTAAAATCGGTTTATTATTTAAAAAATGAAAATAAAAACAAAATACAGTTTTTTATAGCCCACCCAGTAAAAATAAAACATAACAGTGTTTCGCACATAACAATTTAATTTATTTTTTATTTTATTTCACGAACGAGGTTGAACACTATGTTTTTATCGAGAAAGAAACTTCTTAATATCATGAGAAGTTCTGGAAAGAATGAAATTAATAGAATTTGCTGACAACACCGCTAGATACTTTTTTGAAAAGTACCCACGGTCAATATGTCTCCGACATTGCACAAATACTTTATACATGGGCCTGAAATAATATCTTCTGCTTTGTTGCCCATAGACCAATTAACAGAGAAAACTAATGAGGACGTATTTAATTCGTTTTTACTTAGTTTCGACCTTGTAATCACGAGCAAACGAAAATTAAAAAAAGAAAGAACCTGCAGCACTTTCCTAAAGAAGCAGTAGATTTGTTTAAATCTGGACTCGTCCAGCTTCATAGCCATGGAAATTATTATAATATTACATTTTTATTATCTGTATCTTTAACGTGTGGAGGGTGGATAACCCCCACGGCACTTAGGCCTCATTAGGTCCATGACATTTTTATTATATTATATGTTAGTATTACAAAAGTAAATACATAGAGGGCTTAATAGAATATACATTTTTATTATATTATATTCTTAATAACTTTCTATTTTTTTTTTAGCAAACAAACACTTTATAAGCCCTCTATGTATTTTCATTTGTAATACTAATACCTCTACAAAGCAATATTTAACTTACAAATTCATAAAGAGGGTCTGTGATTTATTGCCAACTTTGATGGCTTGTTGCCCCAGTGTGCGACGCGCGGTTTAATACTATGGGAATGCACAACCTCAGAATAAAAGAGGAGACATTAAATTTGGGAAGTACACATGTGTTCACGAGCGTTTTTTTGCAGTCGCGTTAACGCAAACGCTAACGCAATTTTTAATTCACACGCAGCGCTTCTTATATATATAAAAAACAAGGCAGAGTAAATTCGTCTTTTGAAAACAAAGAAAATGGATGTAAGTTCGAAAAAAAAGTGATATTTGTACCTATATCTTGTTTACAAATAGTTTGTTAGGAGGAATATAAAATACTGGGTAAATCCTCACTTAAATTCCCTTTTTGTAAAAGTTTAAAGGTGCTTTCACATCAAGCTTTATGATGTATGTATTTCTTTTAATTATGTTCGTATGAGCACGAGTATATGCTCATTTGATGAACTGCATGTAATGCTTAAGAGCGAATCCATGCAGCACCTAACAGCAAATTCAGATTGAGAAGGTACTGACGACTTTCAGTGCATCAAAACACACTTTTACAACTTTGCTCTAAATCCAGACTTACGCTCCCTTTAATTTATTACTTAAGGGGCCTACAGAACAGACGCTTGCGCATGTATTAAGACATATACGCACGTTGATGTACGCTCGGTGATGTATGTAGGTCTACTTTTCTACACGTACAGACTCGTATGTAAGTTTTCTCCGTGTCGTATTGAAAGTTTGTCGCCATGCCAAGCGAAGATGAACTAATGGCGTCGATCACAAAGAAAATGGGTTAAAGAGATACCAATATTCTCATTTTAGTTTACTTGAAGCTACGATTAGAACCTGATGATTGGCGAAACTATCAAACTATCTCCGGCTGGTTGAAGATAGGTACGTAACACTTCTTTCGAATTACTTCTTTAATCTGCCATGTTCACAAAACAAAAATAAATAACTTTTAAAAACTAATACACGGCACTGCAAAGTCTTTCAAAATGAGTAAGTTTTTGTCTACACACAGGAATACATGTTTGTGCATACAAAGCTGTGCGGACTTGAATTCAAACGAGAACAGAAAACATGTGCGTCGGCCTTTTTGCAAAAAATTTGTCTACACACTGGTAAACATCACCGCACGTACATCAACGTGCATTTATGTCTTAATACATGCGCGAGCGTCTGTAGGCCACTTTAAATGATTTAAAAGATTCAAAACGTCGATAAATCGCAGGTCCGGTCTTACAAGGAGTTTCTTTTGTTTTCCTTGTTTAAAATATTTTTTAAAGGTATAACCTATTTCATAAAACTGCCTACTTTGCAACTTTTCACTTTACATTTTGCATATTTTAGTAAATTTATGTTCCATAAAAGAGAAATTTGACAAGTTAAAGAGTAAAATTTAAAAAGCAATTTGTAAAGTAGAAATGAAAAATTAATAATCTGCCAGGATACCGATATTATTTTTTGATACACAAGTATTTTGCACTCGCAAATTTGAAAAGTGGAAAGTTGCAAAGTAGTTTTATGAAATAGACCACTAGTGTAACATTTTCGAAACGATAGTGTGTTGTTTGTCAACTCGTTTTTGATAGTAGTAGTAAACGATTGCTTTAAAAAAATCTTTGGTCTTCAAAATACTATTGGCACATTTTAAAAATTAAATTAAAAATAAAAAATACATTCTCTTATTATTATAATAACTTTTTTTTCTTAATAAATAATTTATTTACGAAATATATTATAAAATATACACAGGTATTTCTGAAACATATCTAAAAATTATTTCTACCATTTTCTTAGTTTTATAGTCGAAGTTATTTTATAAAAGAAACGTAAATCAAATAAATCAGTGGAGTACTATTTTTTTATTAAATAAGTTGTGAAATTCCCGCACGAATGCCACTGGTGCAAGTAGAAATATTCGGAACAACCCAAAAAAATGCACATTTATCCTGTCAAAGTTTTTTGCAAATTTCGAGAAATATATTTAAAACTCTTTAAAATAATTAAGAAAAATAATCAATTACAATCTAAACATCTGTATTTCGGAACCGAAGCATATTTCGACCTACTTTTCGTACTTTAATCCATTTAATACTAGTTTGTGTAAGAGTGGATATGGACAATTCACTGGAATTGTTTAGTATATTTTTTCTACGACCTACTAACGAAAATCTACAAATTTAAAAAACTAATTTAGGATGAGACAAAATAACTAATTTTAAAACAAATTATCTTTTACTAATTTATAAAATAAATATGAAAAAAGATTTAATTTAATTAATTCCCAGCCCAGTACACCACAAATAGTCTGACACCGGCATGTACGGTAAGCTGAGTACTCAGATTGCCGTTGTCAGGGTTGTTTCTGAGCCGAAAGGGCCGTACCATTTGACGTAATTTAGAAGTAGAAACCGCATGTAGTCCACATTTGGCTTTCCAGATATGAGAGGCATCCTTACGCGGTGAATATTTGGCTAGCCGGACATGGGAGGCATCCTTACGAGCCGAATAAAATCTTAAAGTCCGTGTCATAGCAAAGTTTTCGATGTTTTTTTTCCAGAAAACAACTACTGCCTTGACTAATACCGCAACACTGTAGCTTTGATTTTGCTTCCTAATGAGAACGTCGTCGTTGGACCAGTTTCGTTCTTATTAGGACTCATCAGCAAGAAATAAACAATCTCGACTGAGTCTCTAATTGTCTGCTTG